AACATTTAGTTTTTTTATTTTCTGCTTGTCATCCAGCCTACAATTTTTAGGCAGATAATCTAAAATGAAAATGTCACACACTGCCCCTTTGATATAATAAGTGAATTCTACAGCTTTAAAATGAGGTATAACATGTCCATAAAGACAGAGATAAAGCCTGACAACAACAACGAGACTCTTCTGAAAACATGAATGGATTTGACTCAATTTTAAAATCAAATTGATGTTTTGCCCAGCAGTCCTATCTAATGGGTTATACTGTATATTCAAACTTTTGGTGTGTTTCGTTGGCGTTTCTTTGTGTGTAATCTTTGTGTTACATTGCCTCTTAAGTACAATAGTTCTTTCAAAGCCCAAATTTCAAAGTAAAACAGAATGTAGTTCAGGGTCGTACAATAAGAATCACAGTCATTGTCCCGAAAGTTCATGTCCGAGTGCATTCATCAGAGAAACTTTTGGTCCGAATCTTCCTTTGAAAGGGATCAGTGTGAGTCTTTGAAACGCCATATTATCAGAACAAGGTCTGGTTCACACACAGATCTGGGATTCCTGGAGGGATTTGGCCCCAGATCAGCAGCAGGAGGAGGTGAGAAAACCACGACTGAGAGTGTGGTTCATGATCAGAGCAGGAGAATCAAAGTGAGAGCAGTTCCCACAAAGAAAAAAACATATTTGTGTTTCATAAAGGTGTCTCTCTGGTCTCTCTTTGGTATCTCTCTCTCCCTGGTCTCTGACAGCTCTCTTTCTGGTCTTTCTCTTATTACTTTAGTCTCTCTCTGGCATCTCCACACTTCTCTGTGGTCTCTCTCTCGCTCTGTGGTCTCTCTGTGGTCTCTCTCTTTGGTCTCTCTCTCTGGTCACTCTCTCTCTCTGGAACGTCATGTAATTTCCTACTTATTGTGATGTGATTACCATTTCTGTCTATTTTCCAGAATTGTCAGCATTCTATCTTCAGATCTATGAACACATGAGACATGGCTAATTATATCCTACGTCTGTGAATAACAAGTCAGCAACAGTAAACTACACATCTAAAAAAGACACACAAGAGCCTTTTTAAAACTTGCTATCCTCCTCCCACACAGACAAGCCTGAAGTTCAAATCAAACCCACCAATCATAGCGAGCCACTGCGGTCATGTGACTAAAGGGCTGTTAGATTAAGTCATGTCAAAGGAATTTGGTTGTTTGAATCTCAGCAAATATAATGATAAGGTATCAAAACAATATTAGCAGCACTTATAATGTATGATTGATCACCTAATTATTAAAGGTATAAATCCACAACATCATTGTGTATAATAATGAGATATCACCTGAATAAACTGCCCTAAATCACAACAGCAGGACTTGACAAAGTTGTAGATTCGTCAAAAACAGCAACAGATCAGAGAATCAAACGTTCAAACCCAGGAAACAATAACAGAATAATAATAATACATAGGAGCCATTTATAGGAAGTGGGATGACCAATGTCCAGAAATGTTAATAAATGTCCATTATACATATTGGATTAACTTTTGAAGAAAATAACCTTAAATTATTGATCTAGAGACTTTAGCAGTTCATGGTTCAGAATGTCTTATGTATATTTTGTGGACTATGGGAGACAAATGGACAATGCACAAAGAAATGTAACGAAACAACTCCACCTGGCGGCAGAAGGGGGACACTACATGTGGTTGAATAAAAGTTATTTTACTGGAGGAATTCTCAAAACAAATTAATAGGCAATACTTTGTGTTGGCTTTAAACGTGCCGTGATATCGTAAGGTTTGAGACGGGAGCAGGATGGAGCGTAAAGGGGCAGGATGGAGCAAAACACAACACCAGGTCAGTTCTTGAGAAGGGAACCATGTTAGCTCTCTGGTCTCTCTTTGGCCTCTCTCTCTTGGGTCTCTCTCTCTGATCCTTCTTTCTGTTCTCTCTTTCTGATCCCTCTCTGGTCTGTCTTTCTGATCCCTCTCTCTGGTCTCTCTCTCTCTGATCCCTCTCTCTGGTCTCTCTCTCTCTGATCCCTCTCTCTGGTCTCTCTCTCTCTCTGATCCCTCTCTCTGGTGTCTCTCTCTCTGATCCCTCTCTCTCTGATCCCTCTCTCTGGTCTCTCTCTCTGATCCCTCTCTCTCGTCTCTCTCTGATCCCTCTCTCTGGTCTCTCTCTCTGATCCTTCTTTCTGGTCTCTCTCTCTGATCCCTCTCTCTGGTCTCTCTCTCTGATCCCTCTCTCTGGTCTCTCTCTCTGATCCTTCTCTCTGGTCTCTCTCTCTGATCCCTCTCTCTGGTCTCTCTCTCTGATCCCTCTCTCTGATCCCTCTCTCTGGTCTCTCTCTCTCTGATCCCTCTCGCTGGTCTCTCTCTGGTCTCTCTCTCTGATCCCTCTCTCTGGTCTCTTTCCCGTCTCTCTCTATTCTCTCATTGTTCAATAAGTCATATTAGTCTATTTTGCCTAGTATGACTGGATTCTACCTCAAAACGTTTTTGATGTAGAACTGTATGAGAACCTTAACACACATATGCAGATGGTAACAATATCAATTAATAACTACGCATGAAGATTTACGCTTTCCTCCAGTTGTGAATGTCAACATTTTCAGGTTGAAACCATAGACTGTTGTTGAAACGCTGTGCAAGTTATGTCAAAATGTATATAGAAATAAATCTTGACATAACTTGCACAATTTTTGGTTGCGCAAAAAATTGGAAAGAGTCTTGTGTCTGGAATAATGTGAGAGGAAAAAACTAAAGCATGCCACGCCTTTCCCCAGGGAGGTGATCATTATAAAGTCTAATGGTTGTGAGTTCAGCAAATACAAAATGGCAAAAAGCAGAAGCCAAAACTTTTGCAATCATTAAAAAGTGAAATGCCAAATCCACCCTTCTCTCTTTAGAATAGATCAAGACAGAGCTTTGTTATGGGACTAACTTTTTACTTTTAAAAAAATTGTTTTGAATACTAAGGAGTAGATTTGACACCATTAGGTAAGTGTAGTATTTGTTGTGGTCTGTACGTCTTTATAGATTTAACAACAACTCTCATTTTTAAATTTGAACTTTTATATGGTTTTTTCTGCAAATTCAATGCACTCAAAGAGTTTCACATCAAGGAACCAATCACCCATTTACACACACACACACGCACACACACACACACACACATACACACACATTCATACACAGGGCCACTGCGGGCGAGGTGGGTTAAGTGTCTTGCTCAAGGACAGACAGCAGCAATTACCAATGGGAGCTGAATTCGCAATACTATCGAATTGTATGCAATATTTTAGCCACAATTCAATATTTTTGCGATTCTTAATGTCACGCATTACAGTATTAAAAGGCATACAGAAATAAATACTATCTGCTGGCAAGTAAACAGTGTGTTGCTATGGTAAGGTAAGGCAAGGCAAGTTTATTTGTACAGCACAACTCATACACAAGGCAACTCAAAGTGCTGAACAAAACAAGATAGTATTAAAATCCTAAATAATCACAGTACATTTAAAAGAACGATAAAAATATAAAATCTACCACTACCACTGGCTGCCAGAGAAAGTTGTTTATCTTGTTTACCAACAAGACACTCTCGGAAGAAGAACATTCAAAAGTGTGTGTTTATGAGCCGATAATGCCACACTATCTAACCGATCGAGGATTGACGAGGCTGAAAAAAACTCTACAACTATGAGTCAATGAGGGACAACCCAGTAATAAAAAACAATAAACAAATAAATACAGAATCAGTGACATGTTTGTATGTGGGTCAGTACTTAAAACTGGAGTATTGAACTTTGAAATTATGCAATAAAATCCATGTAACTAGTTCCTTGCTCTCATAAACAATCTGGTTTGGTTTGTCCTGCATTTATTTTGGCCTCTGTTACATCTTTAGAGTGGCTTGTTCAGTGAAAAAGAGGTGACCAGTACTCTCTCAGCCAATCAGCTCTCAGTGTGTAAAAGTGGTGTTTTTAGTTTGGGCGTTAGGATAAAGACAGCATGTTGTGGTCTGATTTGACTCTTTCTGCTGGGTAAAACTATATCCTCAAATGTCCTGGATCATAACTGCCTTGCAGGACTGAGGCTGTAGGTCCATGACTGAGGCTGTAGGTCCAGGACTGAGGATGTAGATCCAGGACTGAAGCAGTAGAACCAGGATTCAAGCTGTAGAACCAGGACTGAAGTAGTAGAACCAGGATTGAGGCTGTATATCCAGGTCTTAGGCTGTAGATCCAGGATTGGGGCTGTAGATCAGGATTCAGGCTGTAGATCCGGACTGAAGTAGTAGAACCAGGATTGAGGTTGTAGATCTAGGACTGAGGCTGTACATCCAGGACTGAAAGGTAAATGTGCACTTTATTTATCCCCGTAGGGAAATTCATCCTCTGCATTTGACCCATCCTGATGCCACTAAGGTTGCTGTGGTACAGCACTGGGGACCCATCTCCAGATGTTGATGCTCGGCTTGGTGAGGACTACCGCAGCTGGAGGATTTAACCTATTGTACATGGACTCAGGCTGTACATCCAGGACTCAGGCTATAGAACCCTCGTACAAGTATGTCCTGGGCCGGCGTATTTTTTATGCAACATGTCAATCCACCCCTTGAATTGAATGTAGGTTTGAGGTTTGAGTTGAGTTTTTCAACACATGTTTTGAAGGCCAGGCGGAAGCAACAGTAGCTTTATGTACATATCTACTCTTTCCTATGGCTCCTATACATTCAACTTTGGCCTCTGACACTGCCCTTATCTGCAATAACAGATGTACAAACTCCACAACAATGAGGAAAGTCTCACAGAAATAATGTGAAATAAAGTGTCATTGCTCTTATCTCGGTGAGGTGTTTCCGTGCTGGACTTTGTGCCCTGTTATAGTAAATATGCTATACGGCTGACAGATCAGACTCTCTGGCCAGTGTCCTGACGCCTCCAGCCTCCAGCCTCCGTGCTCAGTCCTCTGCGGCGTTCCTGTTGGGTGGGATCGCTTGTCACTTGAACTAGACACAATGATCAGCAGAAACTTCAAAAATGTGCTGGTGGTCTCCATCGGCTTCCTGTCCCTGTTCACAGCCTATGGCGGACTGCAGAGTTTGCAGGTAAATCTCACTCAATTCACTAAAAGAATTCTTTCACTGCAAAAAGTGATTAAGTCCAAAATTGCTCAAATTTGTATCTATACATTCTGACTGCTTGAAAAAAGATTTGCCAATGAGCCAAGTAAAATGATCTTGTTTTAAAAAGATGCAAGAAATCTCCCTTGAAATGAAAATACAAAGCAACAGTTCTTGAAATAAGACTACTGTAAATGGCTTTGGCCCAGTGGCAAATCTTGTTTTAAGACAGAATGTACTCAAATTCAAGCAATTATTACCTCATATTTTATCATTTTTTGCAATGTCTCCACTTAGCGAGATGCTAGTTTATCACAATTGAACACTACAAAGATGGAAATGTAAGACAAAATGTGTATAACCAACACCATAAGACAATGCCCATCCATCCATTTTCTTCCGCTTTATCCATTGCCGGGTCGCGGGGGCAGCAGTCTAAGCAGAGACGCCCAGACTTCCCTATATACACACACTTCCTCCAGCTCGTCCCGGGGGACCCCAAGGCGTTCCAAGGCCAGCTGAGAAACATAGTCTCTCCAGCGTGTCCTGGGTCTTCCCTGGGGCCTCCTCCCGGTGGGACGTGCCCGGAACACCTCCCCAGGGAGGCGTCCAGGAGGCACCCGGAACAGATGCCCGAGCTACCTCAACTGGTTCCTTTCGACGTGGAGAAGCAGCGGCTCTACTCCGAGCTCCTCCCTTGTGACTGAGCTCCTCATCCTATCTCTAAGGGAGCGCCCAGCCACTCTGCGGAGGAAGCTCATTTCGACCGCTTGTATCCGCGATCTCGTTCTTTCGGTCACTACAGCTGCACTAACTGACTTTGGGATTTTGAAGCCTCAGACTCGCTGGCCTCTCTCTTTCTGCTCCCCTTCCCGCACCCACGAAGCTATCGCCCCCCACACACACCCACTGTTGGGACGGAGCTAGTGTCTCTCAATATGGATAATACATGGATGGATGGCGTGACTATAGAACGATAGAACCGGGAAGCGCGGAGGAACGAGACTTTCTTTTGGATGGCTGTCTCGCTGTGTAAGCAGTAACCGGTGACGAAGACGAGGAAGCTTCAGGTTAGCTCCTCGGCTTGTTGTGCTAACTCAGCCGTCTATGCTAACTGAGACCTGTAGATTTCTCACGAAAGTGGGGGCCAGTGGTCCGTTGTGATTGGTCACAATCTGCGACCCGAAACACATTCTCTTCCTTGTTTCATCAAAACTCGATCTAAAATATAATGTCACGCCAGCACAAATCTGCACTACTTTTTCTTCAAAAGGACGTATATCCCAATGCCCTACACGGACATGGATAGCACTTTAGTAATTAATAAAAAAATAAAGTCAGTTAGTGCAGCTTTAAGACCACCATAAGACAATGAACACATAAAAAACGAAAGGTTAGTTAATTCAGCACATAGAACTCTATATCCAAGCCCAACACTGAAAAATCTACTTATTGCCTTTTTGAATTGTAGATAAGTTGGTGAATGCAAAATGTAGTAATATTTTTTGTGTGTGCATGTATAATGATGGTAAATATAGTATGTATTATGTTGCCTCTCTATAGTATATTTTAGACTTTAAAGCAGCTCAGCAATACAATCTTTCCATCAATGGCCTCGCCCCAAAGTGCATCCTGGATCTACATTAGTGCCACTTATGAACCAACTTGGTACCCAGAGTCAGGACTAAAATGGACAGGCAGCATTTCAGATTCATGCAGCTAAAATCTGAAAATGTGAGACAGGCTTCGACTCTAATATTGTTCAAATTCAGGTTAAAAACAGTTAAGCTGTGCATAAAACTGGAGAATTGTAGCATTACTCAACTTAATGTATCGTCATAATTTATAATTTGAATGCCTTGTGTGATTTTCAGTCTTTTTTCTTGTTTTGTTCAGTACTTTGAGTTGCCTTGTGAATGAACTGTGCTATACAGATAAACTTGCTTTGCCTTATCTTATTTAGCTGTGCAAGCTACTCATTTTTAAGCATTTATGTTGTAATTGAATTTTTTTTATCCATTTCAACTTGGGCAAGACACTTAACCCCACTTTACCTGAAGCCCCCGCTGAGAGTTCAAGGCTCCTGTGGACTCACCACCTGCAGGAGGATCAGTGAGGGGCTGGTGCTCTGTGTACTGGGTGCAGCGCTGACTACCACCCCCCCGAACCAGAAATGGATTAAGGGGAAGAAAATGGATGAATGGCATTTCAACTGAATTTTCATATGTATTTTCAGTAGTGAGTTGGACTTGTGAAGCACTTTGGGGTACACTGTGTGAATTGTGCTGTATAAATAAATAAATGTGATTGCAGAGCAGTCTGAATGCAGAGGAGGGCATGGGCGTGGCCTCTCTGAGTGTCATCTATGCCTCCATCATCCTGTCGTCCATGTTTCTGCCGCCCATCATGATCAAGAACCTGGGCTGCAAGTGGACCATCGTGTTGGGCATGGGCTGCTACGTCTCCTACTCCTTTGGGAACCTCTACCCTGGATGGTATGTCCTCCATTACTCAGATAGATAGATAGATAGATGGTATGTCCTCCATTATTCAGATAGATTGATAGATACTTTATTGATCCCTGAAAAATAAATTCAGGTGTCCAGTAGCAGCAAAAACACATCTATCCAAACAAACAAACAAATTCATCATTCTAAAAAGCTAGCGATAGTAATAATAAGAAACCGCAGGTCACAGCAGCAGAGGTGGAGCGGCTTTGTTCGGATCATTTTTTCTGCTCTGGTCCAAAGTAAAATGCTTCATTCGCTTTTTTCAAAATGTAGATTTTCGCCTGTCCTCTTGATTCCGACCATGAATCCTCTCCGCTCTGATCTGGACCAGTGAAAAAACATGAACACTGTTCTGCAGCAACCTCTCAGGTAGAAAAAAGCAAGAAAAATAAGAATTGTAAAGCACAAAAACAACAACTGTAAAGAAATAAGGTGACTTGTTTTCTCAAGTCACCGTATTTCAATTCAATGTATTTTTGTAGATCAGAGAATCAAGCATTTCCCACACAGGAAGTCCATAAATATTGTTGAATGTTGAGTATTTATGGACCACCATGCAGTCTTTATCTTATTAGAAAACATTATTATCAATCAATTAAATGTTATTTATACAGCACTTTTTAAACAAAAGTGCAACACACTGGGCTGCCATCAGAGCAAAAGTGTTCTAAAAGACCAGGTTACACTGCCCCCTTGTGGCTCCCTGTACACCAATCACTGCACCTCCAGCCACGACTCCGTGAAGCTGATCTAGTTCTCGAACCACACCACCCTCATTGGACTCATCTCCAACAACGATGAGTCCGCCTACAGGAGGGAGGTGGACCGGCTGGTGTCCTGGTGCAGTGGTAACAACCTGGAGCTGAACGCCCAGAAGACAGTGGAGATGATTGTGGACTTCAGGAAGAGCACTGTCCCCCCGCCCCCACCCTCCGTGATGGACTCCCCCATCACCTCTGTGGAGTCCTATCATTTCCTGGGCACCACCATCACCCAGGACCTCAAGTGGGAGCGGAGCATCAGTTCCCTCATCAAGAAGGCCCAGCAGAGGATGTACTTCCTGCGGCAGCTCAGGAAAGCCAAGCTGCCTGCACAGATGTTGGTGCAGTTCTACACGGCCATCATCGAGTCCATCCTCACCTCCTCCATCACCGTGTGGTTTGCTGGAGCCACTGTCAGGGACAAACAGAGACTACAGCGCATCGTGAGCGCTGCAGAGGAAGTGATCGGCCGCAGCCTTCCATCGCTGCAGGACCTGTACGTCGCCCGAGCTCGAGGCCGGGCTGGTCGTATCACAGCCGACCCCTCTCACCCTGCACATGGACTATTCCAACCACTCCCCTCAGGCAGGAGGCTGCGGTCCATCAGGACTAGAACCTCCCGCCATAAGAACAGTTTCTTCCCCTCTGCTGTTGGACTCTTGGAACACTTCATAACCTGTCCCCCCGCCCTTTATAAAGTCACCTCATTACGTCACTGTCATGTGTCATGATATTTAAGTCTCAAAGCACCAGTCCTTCTGATCCTCCTGCAGGTGGTAGGTCCACAGGATGATGGCTTCTTCGTCATCAAAGACATGACCTCGGTTTTTTAGCAGGGGCTTCAGGCAATGTGGGGTTAAGTGTCTTGTCCAGGGACACAACAACAGCAGACATTAGTGGGAGCAGATGACATGGGTCGTGGTGGGATCGAACCCACGAAGACCAGTGCTCTACCAACTGAGCTACTGTCGCCCCACGTCACTTTACTGCCGTCACCTTATTACACTGCTTACTGCATATTGTGTGCACTTGTATATTGTATATAGTATCGTAATAATTCTATTTTAAATTGTATACCGTGGAAGTGTATGCTGATTTTTATTATGCCTTACTGGATTCTCTATTCTTTACTTCTCTTTTCTGACTGTTGCACTGAGCCAAAGCAATTTCCTAGTCTGTGACTTCCTGTTACTTACTGTACTGTACATGGCAATAAACATGATTCTGATTCTGAGCTGTTGACGATTAGTCTTTGCTGATCTCTTGATTGGAAAAAGCAGAATAGATTCAAATTCTAGTTCTATTTTAAGGCAATTTGTCCATTGATTGAATCAGGCGAGGTCACTATAAAGTTGTAAGCACACAAAAAAAAATACATGATGTAAGAAGTTTTATGGGTTTGTACTTAGTGGAACCCCTTTTATCTTTTTTGTGGTATCTCTCTATTAGCTCTGCACATCTATACACTTTTTTTTCAGTTCTTCATCTGGTCTCTGATTTTGCCACTTTGTTTGATTCCACCTCCAGACAGGGCATTTCTGTGCGGAGTTTGCATGTTCTCCCCATGTCTCCGAAAAACCTTTTGGACCTTAGATCTGGCATGGGCCTCCTGTAGGGTGACCCCGCTGCCATCACTGAGAGGAGTGAAAGGACAAATGCTCACAACAAATGTAAATCGCTTGGTGACTCATTCCCTCGTGGCTCACAGGGCTCTTATTACAAAGCTGCAACAGTTAAAATGTTTTCTGTGTTTTCCAACGCAAAAAAAATCTGATCTAGGTGACTACTCAACTCAACTACTAATGCTCAAGACAGCACTATACACTGTACTTGAAAACTACAGTAAAGTGACACCATGACTGTATTTAGTCAGGCAACTGAGTACAAGACACATATGTATGTACAGTGTGTATGTTTCACATTGTCCCAGAAAATACACACTGCCTAAACAAGACCCATTTGTTTAGGCAGGCTTTCTCCCCTCACCTTACATAGACCTACAGTATGTGTTCTGTGCTACTGTAATTATGCTTCTTCTGTACTCTGTGTTTTCTTTGTTAATTTTTAATTGTGAGGCTCTTTGTGATCCTGGTCTGTGAAAGGCGCTATATAAATAATCTTACATTTACTTAATTATTTGCTCTAGCTCAAATTGAAAAGTAAACTCCTCTGGCTTCGTAACCTTTTTTGTCACACTCACCATTTTGGTCTTTAAAAAGTTATGGTTTATCACTTTCTATGATGCTGGTGTTTATATTTTGATATTGTCCAAATCCAGACACAAGCCATATAAGGATTGAAAGTTTTGAAAGGATTGACCAATCAGATTCCTTCATTGGCAGAAGAAAGTCCAGCTTGTCTTAGCAACCATCTTAACAACACGTCTGTCTCTGTAACTGTATACGCAAACCCCTATCAGAACAAATGCCCATATAAGGAAATTGGCTCCAGCCAGCTTGTGTTCAAATCTGCTTCTTCTGCATTCAACTAACACTATGGTGCTATTATTGTGTGGCCAGGTACACCCTCATCCCCACCTCTATAATCCTGGGCTTGGGCGGCTCCCCCTTGTGGTCTGCAAAGTGCACATATCTGACCATTGTGGGAAACAGGCAGGCGGCCACCGAGGGCAGGAAGGGCGCTGACGTCATCAACCAATACTTCGGCATCTTCTTCTTCATCTTCCAGTCGTCCGCTGTGTGGGGGAACCTCATGTCCTCCCTCATCTTCGGACAGGACACCAACATAGGTGACCAGAGCATGGAGTATGGGCTGTTCATAGATGGACTGATAGAATAGATAGATAAATAGAGTATGGGCTATTGTAATCAATAGACACAGTAGATACTGTAGATACAGTAGATGGATACAGTAGATACTGTAGATACAGTAGATGGATAGTTACAGTAGATAAATAGATACAGTAGATACTGTAGATACAGTAGATAGATACAGAAGATAGATAGATGCAGTAGATAGATAGATAGATACAGTAGATAAATAGATACAGTAGATAGATACAGCAGATAGATAGATACAGTAGATAGATATATAGATAGATAGATTGATAGATTGATAGATGCAGTAGATAGATAGATACAGTAGATAGATAGATAGATGTAGTAGATAGATAGATACAGTAGATAGATAGATATAGTAGATAGATAGATAGATGCAGTAGATAGATAGATGCAGTAGATAGATAGATAGATGCAGTAGATAGATAGATGCAGTAGATAGATACAGTAGATAGATAGATAGATAGATACAGTAGACAGATACAGTAGATAGATAGATACAGTAGATAGATAGATACAGTAGATAGATACAGTAGATAGATAGATACAGTAGATAGATAGATACAGTAGATAGATACAGTAGATGGATAGTTACAGTAGATAATAGATACTGTAGATACAGTAGATAGATACAGTAGATAGATACAGTAGATAGATAGATACAGTAGATAGATAGATACAGTAGATGGATAGTTACAGTAGATAAATAGATACTGTAGATACTGTAGATACAGTAGATAGATACAGAAGATAGATATATGCAGTAGATAGATACAGTAGATAGATACAGTAGATAGATAGATGCAGTAGATAGATAGATAGATGCAGTAGATAGATAGATACAGTAGATAGATAGATAGATAGATGCAGTAGATAGATACAGTAGATAGATACAGTAGATAGATAGATACAGTAGATAGATAGATACAGTAGATAGATAGATAGATACAGTAGATAGATAGATACAGTAGATAGATAGATAGATAGATACAGTAGATGGATAGTTACAGTAGATAAATAGATACTGTAGATACTGTAGATACAGTAGATAGATACAGAAGATAGATACAGTAGATAGATAGATACAGTAGATAGATAGATACAGTAGATAGATAGATACAGTAGATAGATACAGTAGATGGATAGATACAGTAGATAGATACAGTAGATGGATAGATACAGTAGGTAGATACAGTAGATAGATTGATAGATGGATAGATGCAGTAGATAGATAGATACAGTAGATAGATAGATGGATGCAGTAGATAGATAGATAGATGCAGTAGATAGATATATACAGTAGATAGATAGATGGATGCAGTAGATAGATAGATACAGTAGATAGATAGATGGATGCAGTAGATAGATAGATGCAGTAGATAGATAGATGCAGTAGATAGATAGATACAGTAGATAGATAGATGGATGGATGCAGTAGATAGATAGATGCAGTAGATAGATAGATAGATGCAGTAGATAGATAGATGCAGTAGATAGATAGATAGATACAGTAGATGGATAGTTACAGTAGATAGATACAGTAGATAGATAGATACAGTAGATAGATAGATACAGTAGATAGATAGATACAGTAGATAGATAGATAGATGCAGTAGATAGATAGATACAGTAGATAGATAGATACAGTAGATAGATAGATAGATGCAGTAGATAGATAGATACAGTAGATAGATAGATAGATGCAGTAGATAGATAGATACAGTAGATAGATAGATAGATGCAGTAGATAGATAGATACAGTAGATAGATACAGTAGATAGATAGATACAGTAGATAGATAGATACACTAGATAGATACAGTAGATAGATACAGTAGATAGATAGATAGATAGATAGATGCAGTAGATAGATACAGTAGATAGATGCAGTAGATAGATAGATACTGTAGATAGATAGATAGATGCAGTAGATAGATAGATACAGTAGATAGATAGATAGATGCAGTAGATAGATAGATACAGTAGATAGATAGATACAGTAGATAGATAGATAGATATAGATAGATAGATGCAGTAGATAGATACAGTAGATAGATACAGTAGATAGATAGATACAGTAGATAGATACAGTAGATAGATAGATACAGTAGATAGATAGATACAGTAGATGGATAGTTACAGTAGATAGATGCAGTAGATAGATAGATACAGTAGATAGATAGATACAGTACATAGATAGATAGATGCAGTAGATAGATAGATACAGTAGATAGATAGATAGATGCAGTAGATAGATAGATACAGTAGATAGATAGATGCAGTAGATAGATAGATACAGTAGGTAGATAGATAGATACAGTAGATAGATGCAGTAGATAGATAGATACAGTAGATAGATAGATACAGTAGATAGATTGATACAGTAGATAGATACAGTAGATAGATACAGTAGATAGATAGATACAGTAGATAGATACAGTAGATAGATAGATACAGTAGATGGATAGATACAGTAGATAGATACAGTAGATGGATAGATACAGTAGGTAGATACAGTAGATAGATTGATAGATGGATAGATGCAGTCGATAGATAGATACAGTAGATAGATAGATGGATGCAGTAGATAGATAGATAGATGCAGTAGATAGATAGATACAGTAGATAGATAGATGGATGCAGTAGATAGATAGATGCAGTAGATAGATAGATGCAGTAGATAGATATATACAGTAGATAGATAGATGGATGCAGTAGATAGATAGATGCAGTAGATAGATAGATGCAGTAGATAGATAGATGGATGCAGTAGATAGATAGATGCAGTAGATAGATAGATGGATGCAGTAGATAGATAGATACAGTAGATAGATAGATGGATGCAGTAGATAGATAGATGCAGTAGAATAGATAGATGCAGTAGATAGATAGATAGATGCAGTAGATAGATAGATAGATGCAGTAGATAGATATATACAGTAGATATATAGATGGATGCAGTAGATAGATAGATGCAGTAGATAGATATATACAGTAGATAGATAGATGGATGCAGTAGATAGATAGATGCAGTAGATAGATATATACAGTAGATAGATAGATGGATGCAGTAGATCGATAGATGCAGTAGATAGATAGATGGATGCAGTAGATAGATAGATAGATACAGTAGATCGATAGATGCAGTAGATAGATACAGTAGATAGATAGATACAGTAGGTAGATAGATAGATACAGTAGATAGATGCAGTAGATAGATAGATACAGTAGATACAGTAGATAGATACAGTAGATAGATGCAGTAGATAGATACAGTAGATAGATACAGTAGATAGATAGATACAGTAGATAGATAGATACAGTAGATAGATAGATACAGTAGATAGATAGATACAGTAGATAGATAGATAGATGCAGTAGATAGATAGATACAGTAGATAGATAGATAGATGCAGTAGATAGATAGATACAGTAGATAGATACAGTAGATAGATAGATAGTTGCAGTAGATAGATAGATACAGTAGATAGATAGATACAGTAGGTAGATAGATAGATACAGTAGATAGATGCAGTAGATAGATAGATACAGTAGATAGATAGATAGATGCAGTAGATAGATAGATACAGTAGATAGATAGATAGATGCAGTAGATAGATAGATACAGTAGGTAGATAGATAGATACAGTAGATAGATACAGTAGATAGATAGATACAGTAGATAGATAGATGCAGTAGATAGATAGATACAGTAGATAGATAGATGCAGTAGATAGATAGATACAGTAGATAGATAGATGCAGTAGCTAGATACAGTAGATAGATAGATACAGTAGGTAGATAGATAGATACAGTAGATAGATGCAGTAGATAGATAGATACAGTAGATAGATAGATAGATGCAGTAGATAGATAGATACAGTAGATAGATAGATGCAGTAGATAGATAGATACAGTAGATAGATAGATGCAGTAGATAGATACAGTAGATAGATAGATACAGTAGGTAGATAGATAGATACAGTAGATAGATGCAGTAGATAGATGCAGTAGTTTCAGTTTCAGTTTCAGTTTCAGTTTATTCTTCTTCACAATATCACACATTTGTTCATACATTGAGTTTGTAACTAATTTTGTGACACTGGGAAAAAGAAATGGACACCCTAGGAAGCTACACAAGCTTATGTACGGGGTCCAAAAATACAAAGTCAAACAAAAACAGATGGCATGAAACAGAGATTTGTTAAATTTGAGATAGGAAAATTAGAAGAGAAATGAAAAAATACATATATACACACACGCTCACACACACACACACACACCCACGCCCACCTTCAGAGATCGTGTTTGTGTCATACATGGTATCGTTGTTTCTATGAAATTCAATGGTATATTCATAGTTAATACTGTTTTGTAAATTTATTTTTATTTTATAAGGTGTTATCACCACTATTGTTTTCTATTTACCGTTTATGTGTGCTTTCCCTTCCCTTAGTACAAGGAGATCAGTGGAGCCCAGGAGAGACTACCGTTTTAGTCAGGCAGAACAGTAGCGTCCTAAGAGCCACCGTCTGATATTTCTTTTAAACATGGCTAATGACAGAGACTGCTTGATGTCCTCGTCGAGCTCATGCCAGATACGAGGGCCCTTGCAGCAGATACTAAAGTTGGTAGATTTTAGTCTTCTGTTTTTCCCTTTTAGTTTGTATTTCTCTTTGTGTCGTGTTGGTGTGAGGCTGTGGTCAGAGGGATGAGTCACAGAGTCTGGGATTTAATTTGTGGACAACAACTAAATATAGACAAGCGTTTGATACAAGTTAATTTCACAGAGGCCATATCTGTGGAAGAGAGGGTTAATTTGTGGACCATGTAATACTCGTATAGCTTTCATCTGGAGTTTTGCAAAGTATAGGTGTTGTCCAGATCAATTACAATAATTTTTGGTTCAAATAGAGGAACAGTGTTAATTTGCCAGAAGTTGAGTTTTAAAC